CTGCTTTCTAGACTATTTTAAGGCGTAAACTTAAGCATTGAATATCTTTTTAAAAGTATCGTACATATTAAAAGTACTACACATATGTTACTGTACTATAGTTTTATAAGATACAACACTCGGTTGAAGGGGTTTTGTTCTTTTAAATGCTTAGATAGACGGAAATTATTTAACTTTATTCCTTGAGGTGCGAGAAGCGTTATTTTCAATTGGACAAAAATATTATAGAAGTTCTGCTAGTGGCATATCGGCTTGGAATGGCACACTAACGGATGTGAGAAGTGGAATCCCACGGAAAACAGCATTGACAACTATTTGATAAAGTGCTCTAAAATTTATAGTTGACTTACGTTAAGAAATGGAAACCAACAGAGCCCGCTACTCCACTATGCAAAAGACATCAGCCTATAAATACCAACCCAGCATGAAGTGGGGAAATCTGAGGAACTGAAATTCATTCAGTAGCCCGTGCACTCATTTTTACTATCTTAGCCTTACCGCACAACGTATTTATCATTTGGGAGTATTCATAATTGACATTTATATTTACGCAGTATGGACAAATACGTACTCTTCTTTCGCTTCCTTATTCATAACGAGCAAAAAATACAAGTTTTATGTGCATAAATTTTGAACCAAATTGCTTAAACATCTTCACTTAATACGTGTCTAATGCACACGATTTCACCATTTTTTAAATTGTATTTTCGTTTTATGACTTGTACGGCCTCAAGGTTGCCGTTTTCCCTTTCTTGAAAAGGGCACGAACGTCAATTATGCAGTTCCTGGTCTAGTGCAAACAAAAAGAATAGCTAATGGATAAGAAAGGGGTTAAAGTTAGCATTCCGTACTTTTAATGCGCTATTGTGGCAAATATAAAATAATTGATACGCTACTTAACTTCTACCACAAGGATTTATTTATTTTGTAGTCAAATGTATAAAGCTGAGGTTTAAATAAAACTTTGGTCGATTGGAAGCACAAATTGTGTCGTATTTCAGGTGTAAACTCTAAAATTGTAAATAGATAAAATACCTCCTATAAAATTTATAACAACATTGAGACCACACCTACGCCTAGACGAATTTGCAACATACACACTGGTACATACACATTATGACCTACTTAAAAACTTTTCGTATGCGACCATGCTCTATTCACCATCTTTCATCAAACAATTTTACTCATCACCCAAGCATTAAAATCAGCAGACGGGATAAACGCTTCGTTTTCCGTAAAAAGTAGTATTGTCTTAATGAGGTTAGCTATATTACGAAAAATATTGCCTTAGTGACCCTGCCCGGGGTCAGCGAACAACCCCTTCCACAACATAAACGCGCTCGCCATTTGTCCACTAGGTATTACCGATGATATTTAAATGAATTTCAGTGTCTGCGCCCGAAGGTAGGGCACGTCCCCCAATTTACCGCGTAACTCTTTTAATTTACATAATTATTGTGCACTAAATTGTTCCCCATACGCCCCACCCATTCCACCCCCTAAATTCAGGTGCCCGTATTGAAGTGGAGCGCGCTTCGCTCACACTGTGAGGACCCCACTTTAGATCCTTATTAAGTGAACCCACCAGGCCTCAGTATTATTTCGTATATTCCACGTTATCATACCTCGTTACCTAATGAAGCACTCGTCAGGACTTTTTACTAGAGTCTTCACTTTCAGGTGTCCGATTAAATAATGATTTGTTCTTTTTGTAGCTCCCGCAGTACAGGATAGAAACTGCCAAAACACGGAACATTGGTGTCAGCAGGAATGCAAAGATACAGAGTTAAGTATTGAATGCGCCTGTCGGCGCGATTTTGAACTTCAACCAGACGGAAAATCGTGCAAAGGTGAGTTGTCGATTTGTATATTTATTGCACACCATTTCTAAGCCCTAATTGGTAATATTAGAAGCCGCTGGTGAACAAATTTGATGTTCATAATATCATAACTTACTCTGAATCTGTCAACTTTCAGTTCACCATGGTCCTGCTTATTCGGACTTTTTGGATAAAACGCGCTGTTTTTTTTGGGTAACGGGGAACGTAAACCGCTTCACCTGAAAAAAATGGAGATTAACGCACCTACAGCTGACTCGTTATGCTAGACAAATGATTGTTATTCCGAAATTCAAAATGAACAGATTGACCGATAGACAGTAATATGCGACTCCCAGACAGCAGTTCAGAAGTTGGCGATACGATCGCTGGAACAAAAAGTTTACTTGCCTGACGTTTCGGATTCTGGCCTGGACCTATCATCAGAAGCAACCACAGAAAGGGTGATATATTCATAGACTACGCCGTAGTTCGCAGTGGCCGTGCGTCCGCATGCGTGCTGTAATTATCGGCCCCCTTAACCACCGCTAGGCGTCGTACTCGGTACGGTGGTGGCTTGGCAGTCCGCTTTCGAGCCAGTAATTGCCAAAATTTAGTCATCTGTGTTGGATGCGGGATTGATAATTCCGCGACAGCTATATTCGTTGTCGTCAGAGTTGTTGTTCGGTCCAACCCTTCTCTCATGAAGGGTTCTCTTGTTCAGGCAATGTCTCAGTACGAAATATAGGATCAGCAGGTACTCGTGACTGTTTATTGACTGTGGGCCTGATAACCGTAACGCGAGGATTCCGGCATCGTTAAACGTAAAAATATGGCCGGTTTTTGTTTCCATCACGGCAATAATTACGATCCCGAGCAGTGATTACAGG